AAATTTTGAGTTATTGCAGTGATTAGTTTGCTCGTCTGTGACTGTGTAACAGCCCACAAAACGGATTTCTCGCCTACGACCAAGATAATTTGGACTTTTTTTTGTTTAAATACTATACGTTTTGCATAAGGGCATTTCATATGAAAAGAGATTATCTAATGCCCTGTAGACTAGTACACACCTCTGATGTTTCATTCTCTGTTCAAACGGCAGTGTATGAATATCCTCAAACAGCTCTTTGTTAGGAGTAAGAGCTGACAATGACGTTGGTAACACAGGGAAAGTGTCTTATTACCATTCATTTCAGATTTAGATTGCATTCTATGACGTTGCTTGGTATTGTAACATGAATTGTCATTCAGATGATGGTTTTTACTTGTATTTTATTAGAACTACAGCAGAGGATAGAAAGTAAAGAGACTCCGTTGAAGATTCCATGTCAGACTAATAGTTTCAACCGCTGAGGAACTACAGGCAGAAACTGGGCCTTTATGGACATGACACTGCATATGTACAACGTGCATTTGTAACTAGGTCACAGGTTGTATGTGGACGACTTGGGACATTCAACTCAAAACCTGCATCTAGGTTACAGAAGGCATTGACAAAAATAGATATGTAGAAAATATCCATAGATTCTCAGTGCACCATCTGGTGTACGGTGCCGAGAATGTAACACACGAACTCACAAGCACGCAATTTTCTGTGGCTTAGTTGTCCACGGTACTTTCGTCGTTCAGGTATCGTGTTACTAGTATTTTCTAAGACATGAATGACCTTCAAATGCATGACGACACGCATCGTTCCCATGACAACATGTTCATTTCGATATTATGCTGTGAATCAGAACTTTTTATCGAGGCTACCATCCTGTGATTTACTTACTGAATACGATGTGTATTCATTATGACACCATGTAGAACCAATCAGACAGGTTCATCCTTGTCTTGGTTTCCATTAAATTTGTCAATGGTAAATGGTGTCACGCTCACCAGCAAAAATATTGTACATGACGTCACCAAAGTGAAACTACCAACAAATGTGTATATTAATGGTATGGTGAAGGATTAAAATAACGACAAGCAACGAGTTAACTATTGATTGTAGTCAATCATTTTGCAAATTGCCTTACCGGAAATTGTCATTTCCGCGGTTGCTTGGCGACCGTTACATGTAGTGTTTTCTATAAAATAATATATCTGGTCTGTAGTGTAACGTGTATAACGACATATCTGGTCTGTAGTGTCTCGTGTATAACAACATATCTGGTCTGTATTGTCACTTGTATAACAACATATCTGGTCTGTAGTGCCTCGTGTATAACGACATATCTGGTCTGTATTGTCTCGTGTATAACAACATATCTGGTCTGTATTGTCTCGTGTATAACAACATATCTGGTCTGTATTGTCACGTGTATAACAAAATATCTGGTCTGTAGAATCTCGTGTATAACAACATATCTGGTCTGTAGTGGCTCGTGTATAACAACATATCTGGTCTATATTGTCACGTGTATAACAACATATCTGGTCTGTAGTGTCTCGTGTATAACAACATATCTGGTCTATATTGTCACGTGTATAACAACATATCTGGTCTGTAGAATCTCGTGTATAACAACATATCTGGTCTGTAGTGGCTCGTGTATAACAACATATCTGGTCTATATTGTCACGTGTATAACAAAATATCTGGTCAGTAGTGTCTCCTGCATAACAACATATCTGGTCTGAAGAATCTCGTGTATAACAACATATCTGGTCTGTAGAATCTCGTGTATAACAACATATCTGGTCTGTAGTGCCTCGTGTATAACAACATATCTGGTCTGTAGTGTCTCGTGTATAACAACATATCTGGTCTGTATTGGCTCATGTATAACAACATATCTGGTCTGTAGAGTCTCGTGTATAACAACATATCTGGTCTGTAGTGTCTCGTGTATAACAACATATCTGGTCTGTGTTGTCACGTGTATAACAACATATCTGGTCTGTAGTGGCTCGTGTATAACAACATATCTGGTCTGTATTGTCACGTGTATAACAAAATATCTGGTCAGTAGTGTCTCCTGCATAACAACATATCTGGTCTGTAGAATCTCGTGTATAACAACATATCTGGTCTGTAGAATCTCGTGTATAACAACATATCTGGTCTGTAGTGCCTCGTGTATAACAACATATCTGGTCTGTAGAGTCTCGTGTATAACAACATATCTGGTCTGTAGTGTCTCGTGTATAACAACATATTTGGTCTGTAGTGTCTCGTGTATAACAACATATCTGGTCTGTAGTGCCTCGTGTATAACAACATATCTGGTCTGTAGTGTCTCGTGTATAACAACATATCTGGTCTGTATTGTCACGTGTATAACAACATATCTGGTCTGTAGCGTCTCGTGTATAACAACATATCTGGTCAGTAGTGTCCCGTGTATAATAACATATCTGGTCTGTAGTGTTTCGTCTGTAACAACATATCTGGTCTGTAGCGCCTTCCTTATTAAACATTTTTAAAAAGAAAGATTAATTAGAGAGATTTCAGCTCAACTTTTTTGTTTATTTTCACCAATACTTTGAATTAATTTCTAGATCAAATGGATGATGTTTCTATCCTGAATAATGCCCCAACTTTGGAGATAGTGTCAATCACAGAAGTTAAGGCCCCGGTCTCGTAGTCTCTCTGGTGCCAGAAGCTGTTTGCTATCTCTGCTGTATTAGTTTATTTCGTTTCTGAATTCGTGTGTCATGATGTTCGCTCATCGTCCCGATTCTTTTTTCTATGCCACGGTCCTCTGATGTATGCAGTATTCGTTTGGTTTTAATCAAAAAATAAAAGATTAGTAATGGCACATCATATGATTGACAGATTAATGTGATTGGATATTGATTTCATCGATCACATCCCGTACCAAAGACAGAATAGCATTGGAAATTCACCGGCCCACACAGCTCAGCTCAGATCCAAACCACAGATCAAGTGTCCCCTACCCCAACCATATTACTCTATCCTTACCCCTATTACTCGTCTCAAGTTGATATCTCGGTGTCCTTTTAAACCAAACTGACCGTATACCAGATCGCGACCCGCGGAGGCAATCCACAGCGCATCCTTTTACAACAAATCTATCAGCTAGTGCGACAGATTCTATTTTGCGTGAACACAGGAATTAATTAGATATCGAGGTAACATTTGGATTCTCAATCGAATTAGCCTATAAAGCCGCAATCTACTTGTGTATATAACTAATTAATAGGATTGAATGAGCCTGATTAACCGTTGTTATCACCCCGCGACACCGCGGCAATTAATGACACCGTTAACAGATTGACGAGGAAACACGTTGTGAGTGCTGACGTCTTTATAAACTATTGCAATGAGAGCCAACATTGATACCTTCACCTTTTCGATCAGCGTACAGCCCCGGCTACACTTTATAATGACCATCTGATTACATTTCAACATTGGCAACATAGCTACATTTGTTTACACTTTTCACTGATATGTGTCTAGGTGCCAAATGTTAGGCTGTTACGAGTCGTCTGGCGACGTCTGTGCCTGGATGTCAACGTTGTGTAGCGACGTTTTTGTCTAGGTTACAGCCGTTATCTGGCGACAGATTAGTCAAGGTGACATTCATGGTCTGGTGAAACTGTGGGCCGTTCACAATCGTTGTCGTGCCATTTGTGGCTCGTTAACAACCGTTGTTTGGGTGATATCTGTGACGCGTTGACAACCGTTACTGTGTGACGTCTGTGACCAGTATCATTAGCGAACAGTTGTTGCTACCTACCGAGCAGTGCGACAAGCATCTAAAACTGTGCCTGTTGTAATTGCTAAAATTAGCTACCTTTTGTAATTGGCTGCCGTTGTTTTGTAATAAGTGTTGCAGATTGCCAAATGGTTTTAGGACAACAATTGGTTCGTTCCAACATTTCCTGATGATGAAGATCTTGAGCATGTCTCATGTAGTCTTTGTACAGAGAACGGTGTATCTGATTGCGTAGTTGTTTTGTGGTACGGATAGTGAGTAATTCGTGTTTACACGTAAATTGCTAGATTGGAAAGCTAGCCTTCATTCTAATCTAACCATCAGTCGGTCTGACGTTTACATAATGACAAAGTCAAAGAATGGTCTTATTTTGTATTTTCGTTTTCATTTGTTTGTTTTTTTATGTGTAAGAAACTTTGATGTAAGAAAAATATGACGTTAACTACACTGATTACGTAAGAGACGTCTGAGTTTGAATGGAATCTCATCTTCACTGCTACATGAATGACGCAAAATCTTCTTCTGACTGATCAATCAATGTGTGTCTTTCCATATAATGATATAATGGTAGTTGTTGGTTACTGTGACAACAACTGAATGATGAAAAAAATAGACTATAAGAGAGCCGGTGTCGCATTAGTAACGAACTTTCCTTTAACGGTTACCATGGTTACAGGGGTTGTATGTCTGACCATGATGGTTTCCTCTGAGTACTTCGATTTCCTCCCAAAAAAAGGAAGATCCCTCTGACACCAGCCTGCTTGTTTCGCGGTTGTTGTATGTCAATTCAAGGTTATAGATTTACAGCAGAAAAGAAATTAGACAAGAAAACCACAAATATTCTAAAGCTGAACAAAACATCAGTGTGCTGAAGTGATCTTCTTAATTCGGGTAGCAAATGAGATCTACCTAACTACCCTTCCTCTGATAATTGATGACAAACTCATTTTTGTTATCTTGTTCACGTCTGTCTCTATAACGGCAAATGTAACTGTCATCTGAATGTCCTATATCCGGAATTACTTCCCAAATATTGACATTTGTGCAGGAGAGTTCTGACCAACTTCATCTTCTCGGTCTCGACTTTGTGGCCTTCCAAGATCCATAATGAAAGCTTGAAGTCTCTTTGGTTCTTTCTACCTGTATATATTTTTTATATATCACAGGTTGTCTCCGTTTTTCTGAAATTGAAAACATGTCTTTTGTTTTATTACTTCAGATCATGAACACAAACACATCCTATGGAGGCCTTTTGTTAGACACAACAGACCTGTCCAAAGACGAATCCGTCCCAATGGTAACAAGCGACTACATCCAAGTATCTGCTGCCATGAAACATCTGACGACCACTATCATGTCGGCAGTATCTAACGCCACCAACATCAGCAACATCGTCCACAACATCACGGTGGTGGAGGAAAACAAAGTTATCTGCACCCCGCCAGGTTAGTATCCGTTATTCTCAAAGTTGATGAAACGAGACCTACTATAGATAAAATGTTTTTATTAGTAAAAATTAACATATACAATTGATAAGCTTTTTCATGGAATATTAGCATCTACATGTTTTGTAAATCTTCGCAAAGCCGAATTGTCCTAAGATTTTCAACATAGAGGTTGAAAACAAAAACCAACATGAAAAGTCGTGAGGTTTGAAAAGGTCTAAAATCCAAAATCGTCATCCCAATAATAGTCCTCGTTAGGTAATTATGTCAACAATACTCCTAAAGAAATCAAGGTGCCGACCATAATTCCCCCAAAATCTAAAACTGTTACTTTTGGTTACATTTTTGTAGAAAATTGAGACTGAGGCAGTAGTGTCTGATTTCAGGGAGGAGGGTCTTATATTAGCTCTGAGCTTTAAAAAAACAACCCAAAAAACACCAATGACTTTTCTACGTTTGTTGCTTGCCAACAGAGACAAGCTTTTTAACAACCGCGATTATTTCCCTGTAGTGTATTTTCCATTTCTAGATAGTGACAATCCCGCTTCCTTAACATATGGTATATGTCATAATTCGATATTCCGTGGCTTGTTTCCAATATCACGATTTTCTTGCAGATGATAGATAAATTCACAGGGTTTTGAAAGATGCTGGTCCTCGAATGCTATAGACTAGTTCTATGACCGTCACTCCATTATCCCATTAAGAAACTTTCTGTTTACTTGGGCGATAAAGTGAAGTGCACTCGATGTTCGTTTGTTTGCCTGGATGCTTTTTTAACCTTGTGGTCATTTAAGCACATTGAATTACTGGCGGGCGTCATCGATGAAGCAGAAGATACTTATCATGAAAACGGAATGTATAATGAGTTATAGATATGATTTTGCATAAACATTTTGTCGTTGAATGTTATTTCAATAGACTTAACACAAAATACAGCCACAGATGAGTACCAAGGTACACAATGTACTTGCTACGTTCTCTTGGTGAAGCAATTCATTGCCACTTTAAATCATCGTGACCCCGACCTCGACATTTCAGTATAAGACATTACATTCCCAGTACACTCTCTAACCGCCCGAGAGCCAAATTAAAACATCTGACTGCTTGTATTTTTTTCTGTTCTTACGAGTATGTCGGTGAAATAACTTGAGTAGTAACATCCAAATGCCGCAAGGTGGTGTGACTGAACCAGGTTTATGGTTGATACACTATAGTAACAAATGTAGAAGATGTATGAATCTCTATGCTTACAACCTAAGTACTCTTTGTAAACCAATATTGATTTCTTGATACTTGGAGGCGATGTTTAGGACTATTTTAAAGTTTTAAATTCATTTCATTGTAAGTTTTCATGCAGAATTCGATGTTTAATTGATTTATCTATCCACAATATAACATAGACCACAGGCATCAGCACAACTTCTAGGAAACCATTGATCGCGGGAGGGGAATATTTCGTAAGATGGAGTAGTTCGTATACCTTCCATACGAAACAATAGTTCCATAGTTTATGTACTAAGTAAAGGTCACCAAGCTAAAATGTTTTCATCAGCTGTTCTAGATATACCTGAATTAATATTGCATTTGCTATTGATACTGTAGTGAATAAAGGATGACCTTTTGCTTGCTTTCCTTTAGTAATAATACTATTACAGTCTTTGTCAGATGACTATTAAGATACTTGGTCTTGTACCTTTGCCAACTCTGCTAGTCACTTCCTGGAATTTGATAACAACGGAATCACAAGGGACAGCTTTCCACTAAGTTGTGTAAGTTGTGTAAGTGTGATTATTTCAAAGTCTGATGTGATTTTCTAGATAGTTACATCTACTTTCGAACCAATGGTGTTGATATCTCACAGTTGATTCAATATCCAAGGGGCTGTTCCCATTATCTCGATTTTTTGTGAATTATGTCTACAGCTGAATAATCATAACATTTATTTATTTCATGGTTTAAACCGGGAACACTACTTGAAGAGCAAAAAACGTTCCTGAATATCACAAATATCCTTTTTTGTTCCATCTCATTCTCGTGGTTTTTCTTCAGTCACGAAATCAACAAAATGTTCTACACTTTTTACATTTAATGTAATACAGTATTTGGAAATTTTATTGGTATCATCACGATGTCATTGGTAAATATTTAGCGATATAGGGTTTGTTGTCTTCGATGCACATTTTTCACTCAATGGTTACATAAGAGAACGTTGCATTATCTGGATGCACTCAGATTTACATGACGAGTTTTTTTTTCGAAAACGCTTACCCTTCTGGAACGCCCGGCTTTTAATCTCCGTTTAGAGTTTTGCGTTGTTTACGTTTATTGATATTGACTTGGTATTATCTGTTTGTTCTTGTTTATTTATGGAAATGTTAATTACAAAAACCAACGCAAAATGAAACAAAATCAATGAAAGCCAAATTTGAAGGATTCTTTATTATGAGCTTAAGGGAAATATTGTCTGATGTCGATGAAGAAATCACTACAAAACATGTTAAATTTCCTAGTAAAATTGCTTCGAAGACCAAAATATTCACTTAAAGTTTGTACTCAGTAAAAATGCTACCAAGGAGATTATTCAAATATAATTATATAATCTCTTCAGGTCTGTTGCTTTCGAAATGTTTTTTTCACGACGCGCACGTGTGACAGTATGATTTATATTATCTAACGACACGGAAGACTTTACACTGGGGTAGTAAAAATGCTTTATATGACACTAACCCTAAATCGATGGCTGGAATAACTGCTCTCTAGTCATATACTCTTGGCTGATAAGACTATGAAAGAGTACAGCGCTTTTGAAAAATGGATAATTACCATTGACAACTATTCCCCTACGCTTAACTAGGGATATTTCCTACTATTGTGTCACAGAGTGAAGACATGGCTTAGTGGATAATAGTTTTACACACCCGAAAATACACAACAAAGCTACACTGGTGGTCACAAAAATACAACTCATACCCGTTAACACTGCCATATCAGTCATATTAGTTTATATCATGTCAGTATATACGTGTTCACAATAACCAGTCCTATACAATGTCCCATACAAACACTTTCAACAACAACATAGTCATTTTTAGAAAAATCTCGATATAAACTCCAAATCGCTGAAACAAGGACAAAACATAGATAAACGAGATGTTTATACTTATACCATTTAAAACGTCATGGAGTGTGTAATACTAAATCAACTTCGTCATGTAAACACCACAGTTAGGACAGGGTTGTTACTATCTATCAATGGAAAATTCACAATACGGACATAGAAATATTAACGTTATCGCATAGCTTAGTGAATATTTGATGTTTGCGTTGTAAGTTAAGACTGCTATTAGCGGCCTGTCATTTATATCCTATTCTGTTTGGTATATGTGTTGGAAATGGCTGACATGAGAAACGCTGAAGATCCTCCACAAACACAAACACTCCTGCTGTATATATATATATGTATATATATGATTAGCCACAATATGCCCTTCCCTTACTTGACCGTTTGAAAGCCATTTAGCCTTATACAATAATTCTGCATCAGTGCCTTCCTCTCCACTTATCGAATAAGTTTATTCTGTGGCCCAGCATCCGTCTCCGCCCCTTGTATATAGTGTTCTTTCTGATTAATCTAAATGTCCACTACAATAGCCTGGTCAAGTCTGAGTCATTACATCTACTCTTTTCCACAGTTGCCCCTGGGGACAAGCAATCTAGACCCAAACTGTAGCAGGGCCAATTTCACTAGAAATTCAAAGTATTGCCAACGAATTCACAAAAAAAATGTTTAATTCATCAATGTGATATAGCTTGTTTATGTCTGCTTTGGCCCAAACGTAAATAGCACGAATCTCTCCTCTATGACACAACACCGTCTGAGCAAATATGCTTTCTAGGCACATAAAATCGACTTTAATCACATGGGTCCGCGCAAGAAACTTTATATCTATTTAAATGAAAAATGTTTTATTTAGTTAATAAAACTAGACGTTTCCTAGTTTTGAAACAAATCTTTAATATTGTAGTGGAAGACACTGCTGGTGAACCTATAGTCCCCGAGCTTTGCCAACATGCCAAGTTACAATTCATTCGAATAGTGGTATTTCAGCTTATACACATGTAATAGACGTTTCTCTGAAATTATCGGACATATGAAAATTAGGAGATTTATTACGTAATGATTCTAATGCATCTTTCTGTCTAGATTTTGACATTTCTTTCGATCACTTTTGATTTTCCTCTGTCGCCGTTTAAGACTCACTATTCAAACCCCTTAATATCATTGAAGACCTAGAAGGACTCGTGGCAATCAAGGCCACCTCAAGGTCATTTTAAATGTAACTGCTCGCTATATCATGATTTCATACAGTTGTTAAACAATTATAAACAACTGTTATAGATGATTTGCATGGTGAAACGCTTGTTGAAGTGTAAGTCTCAATAAAACACTAAATGCTGTATCATGTCCAACTGAAGTGCCGGAACAAAAATAGAATTATTGGCTACAGTGACACGTGGAAGTGACATGCAGTCTTATAAAGATGTACCGAAACTAAAAGGTTGAAGACACTCTGGTAGATAGTAAAGTGCATACAGGGTATCGGGCTTATAAAATTATACTGTAGGTCGTAGACACCATAGAATCTATCCATGATGTTCGCAAATCTTGGATAATGTATATGAAATAGTACGGGAGATATGCTTCAGAAACGAATTAGTATGAGTTTTAGACGCATTCTAAATTGGTTCGCTGCAAAACAGACAGTGGTGAACGATAAGCTGTTGTGAATTGGTTCCTGTTTTCAGCTAGGCTCTTGATTCTAAATTCCAACTCTGTAATAGGTGCTTCTCCGATGTACAGGACATATTTTATACTTTCCATGATAACAGTTTTAAGTAATAGAATTCCGGTTTTAACACTGGGTCTGTTAACACAACCCATTATTTTCTCCTCGCAGAGTAGCGTGTGTTAGGGATGGATGTGGCTGGTAGGCGCC